GTGTCCAAGGAATCTTCCCCCACCCCAGTGAACAATGATCTTTGCCTCATAACACAAACATTCAAGTGTTTCAAAGAATAAAGAATTGTTCTAAATACATTGCTGTCTCTTGTTTAACCAACTATTTCTTCTTTTGTCTTCTATCTTTTCATTATTCAAATTTTCTTCATTTACAATCAGTATTGTCTTTTTGTCTAGGCAAGGATTGATAGGGATAAAACCTCCTTTGCTATTGTCATCTTTTCACTAAGCTTCCTGGCTTAGTTATTCACAATAACGGATTTTTGAAATGCTTTCTATCACAGCATTTGAGATTAAACTCATTTAGAAATATCTAAATTGTCAGAATGGATGGTTAAAAATGGCTTTGAGTCAGTGAAACACATAGGTGGCTGTCTTAGCAAGGACAATCTTTTTTCAACTCTTAGGCACTGATGATACAGAATCACAAAGAATTGTACAGATAAGAGAAATCATATCACTTGAGGACTTTCAGCAGTAACAGCCATAACTAAAATGGATAATACATGTAACTCATGAAGGGAATGACATAATCAAGATTCTGACGTTCCACACTACTTCAAACAAAAGGATAGGAAGGAAACCCCCAACAATACTGAAAAGAGCTATAACAGTTACTGGACTTAAAAATATATTTTCCTGAAAAACTATTTTAATAGATTTTATACATTTCATCTGAAATTAGCAGTGGCAGCTCTGTTAATGAATACTGAATGTTTCCTTATAAGAAAACAGTTAATATTACCATTATAATTCATTGAATCGCTTGGCTGTATTAGTATAAAGTTTAAACAACTAATCTCTTTTGTTTGAGAAAAAGTGTAGTAAGTAAAATTATTCCCAATGATAATTGTTTCAGATTTTCTTTTTGTTATATAAATATGTACTTTTCTTGGGATTTTTTTTCCAATAATTCCTAAAGTTACAAACAAACGAATATTGGAAATATTAATATAAACTTTTTTGAAAAAATATTTAAGAATTTTTGCTATAAATAGTATATGAACAGAAACAAACATCTTACAACAATATTATTCATCTGCTAAAAGTCTAGCAGAAAAAATAAAACATTCTTTCATAGAGGCACTTCAAAGTGAATTTGGCATTAAACGGCTGCTCATGATCATCTCGGATGACAACTTTAATCCTAACCATGTAATATTTCAACATCTTTTGTTCCTCCTGAACACTTTCCTTCAAGATTGATTAAAAAAAACAAAAAAAAACATCTAATATAAGGCATAATAATTTCTATATTAATGCATGCATCTGTGCATGTTTGTTTTTTTTTTCCCCCACACTCCTTTAACATTCAACCAACTCCGTAAATATCAGCTTTCAATGTTCAACCCGCTATAACCAGTCCCATGCTAAAATATATGACAATGACATCGCAAATAACACAGGAAATCATGCAAATTTGATCTTTGACCACACATATTTACAGGGGGAGGGAAGTTGAATGCTAGTATTACAAGTGAACTTACTATCTATGAGTCTTTTAAAGATTCTTCTCAGAAGAGGAAACTACACAGTTTTTTGAAAATAACCAGTTTTGAGAAAACTGGGATATATTTGCTAGCGTTTATATTTATGCATGATAAATCTGCTTTCCCCAATGCCTTTGCTAAAAGTAAACATTAAAGAAGTAATTAACCAAAAAAAAATTTTTTTTTTTTTATGACTGTGTGCCCTGAAAATTTTCTGTTCCCAGTTAAATATTTTTTTTTCCTTTCTGTTGATGTACTTTTCAGTGTTCAAATTAATTTTTCCAGAACAACTTCAGACAAGATTTGAACTTGCACATGATACAATGGGATCCTGAAAGAGATTTTAAGTATTCAGTACTTTATATTTGGTGGTGTAGATCAACCCTGGACTTTCATAATTGTATTTGGTTAAGATAATTTGCATTTGTGCATCTGATACATTATCAAAATGCACAGAATTTCAATAATTTTAGACAAGTTCTCAACATCTTCTGAAGGACAGGTAAGGTTTTATGACTTCATTTCAAATTTGACTTGAAATAACTTTTCATTATTTAATAAACAGGATTTTTCCTTTTTAAAATAAACACAAACAATTTGATATCAGCCAATATTATTAGGAATATTTTTGGTGAGACTGAAAAACTGAAGCTGATTTTTTTTTTTTTTTTTCAACTACTAAGCACATCCTTGAATTTCACATATATATTTTTGTTATAAATAATGTTACACCCTCACTTCGAAATACATGAACTCTTAATTATGTTACAAGAGGATGCTGAAAAGTTCTTAACCTGACCCACTTTAAGAAAAATTTTATAAAAAAGACCAAACATTTTTTTATTTTTTTTTATCATTGACAATAAGGATTACTTGATGTATTTGGACAGTTTTCTGCAGCCAATTCTATGTGCAATATACCTTTTTTTTCATCAAAGCTTTTATTTATTTATATATATATATATATATAATATGATTATTATTATTATTGTCATTAAAAATAAGTACATTTGATAACAAACTGTTCACTCCAATATCTAGTGTAAAATATATATGGTCATTCCTTATCATGGTAGAGGACTTGCATGTCTCAGTGATCTCAAGAGCAAAGCTGTCTGGAGTTCCATGGAGGAAATACCAGACTGAATGCAACCAACCCCCAAATATTCCAATGGCAGAATAGAAGGCAGCACTAGTTAGGCTGACAGACCAAGCATCCAACAGCTCAATGCAATCAGGTTTGTCAGATCTCACCTGTCTCAATCCCCTTTGAGCCGCAAGGGAGGCGCTTCTGGCCAAGTGTGTGGGCTTCTCCATTACATTGAGTTGTCCACCAAAATCAAATTCATGCAAATGGCCTTGTCAAATTTGCTTTGACTTCACTTTTTTCCACCCTTCAGCAAGTCCAGCAGCAATGGTCACATGGTTGACTCACCCACCCACATCTACCACTTACGTTACTTATGACTCTTCATTGTGTAGCAATTTTTAACATGTTTTAATATCCTAAAATAAATTATATTTAAGTCTACTATGTATTGATCCCTCTTAAATTAAATGCTATGTACATTGGAATCATACTCCATTTGTTCTCATTTTACCTGGCGATATATATACACTCACACAAATGGAAAAAAGTGCTCAGTGTATGAAACAGAGCTATAAGTATATATTAGTGAATATACATAATATCCAACGTCGATAAGACTACTTGGAGTTTCATGTCTTCATGAACTGCATGAAACTCCAAGGAGTGTTATCGACATTGGATATTATGTATATTCACTAATATATATTAAATAAACACTTTCATAAAAACACTCTAAGATCTTCAATAGGAAAATGATTAAAATTAGCTACTCCTGTACCAATAATATGTATAAAGTTATCAACTCACATAACTATATTTTAAGAAATTTCTATGGGATAAACAACAAACCTGGTATTGAACCCTCTTGTAATTGTAGATATAAAGAAAATTGTCCAGTAGTGAGTGTATGCAGATCTACCAGGGTTATATATCAAGCAACCATTTCCTCCAAAGAAAATATGAAAAATTATAATGTTTACATTGGAATTTCCTTGGTGGGATGAAAACAGAGATACCCATAGGCACTCTTTTACTAACACTAAATTAAAACACCAGGCAGCTCTTTCAAAGAAATTTTGGCAATTGAGGGAGAAAAGTTTGAACCCACAGATAGTTTGGAAGATTATAGGTTCTGCACATACTCCTAATAGTCTTAGAGTTAAGTGTGTGACTTATGTTTAGAAGGAAAAAAATACAATAATCAAAGCTAACTATTGGATCAAAGGAATGAATTAGTATTAAAATGTCACCATGAACAAATTCAAATTTCCATAATATAAGTAATTTCTCTAACTCTTCAAATGTTGTATGTATAACTAATTCTAATTTCTATATTTCCATATTTACACCATATTAATTATATCTTATAATTGTCCCCTGTTCTAAGAACTCTTTCCTTTTATCACTTACATCTCTTTATCTATCTTAGGGTTGTTTTTTTTTAAGTATAAGATTTAACTTAAGTTGATTTTTTTATTTTATTTATTTCATTATATTTTTATTTGTAAATGTATAATTTATTTTATCTCATTATATTTTTATTTCTAAATATATTATTCATTAATATAACCCATTGATTTTATATTAAATATATCTTATTTTTAAATATGATTTATTTTTAAATAATTTAAATAAATCTTATTTTTTAAATATAACTTGTCTTTTGAATAGTATTTTAAGTATTATTTTGTATTTTTAAACAACTTTATATATTTTAAGTTTTTTTTTTTTTAAACCCTTTTTATTCCGCTCTTAGTTTTAAATTAACATTTAATTCTTCATATAACTTTAAGACTAATACCTTCCACACTCCCTCTGACCCACTGCCTCGTGCCTTTCGTCTGACTGAAACATTGAAATGGATAAATTCTGTATTAGTTTTTCAACAGATTTTTTTTTTTTTAGCTTTCACAGTTAAATTTCTAATTTCAACATGAGCTCAGTCTATACCAGGGTTGAACAAGATTGACAAATTTTATTTTTTCATTGGTTGAAATATGCTTATTCCCCATATGAGGTAATTTGGGATTTTATTGTGTATTAATTATTTGCTCTGTAATAATAAATACACTGAGCTCTTATTGTGGATCATTTTTAATATTTTATATTACTAGGATCCACTTGGATTGTATACCAATGGATTTATTACCTTTATTTATATATATATATATATATATATATATATATATATATACACACACATTTTATTGAAAGTTGTGCTTTTATATCAATCTATATTGATTTTGATTTTTTTAAATATAAGTTAACGCTATAAAATTAGAAATAATTTGATCAAATTCAGATTTGCTTTCAAACATGATTTTATTTTTATTTTTCTATTTTCTCAAAGCAAGTGCATTTTCTTTTTGTTGTCTTTTCAATTGAATTCTTTTGGTAAATTAATCACTTTCACAATTGTTGACATTCATCCTGTAATTGGCAAAATAACTCCAGTTTTTTGTGGCAGATGGTAGGCACTTTGTCCAAACAAATGACCCCTGACGCTAATAAAACAAAAAAGAAAATATATATATATTGGCTTTAAAAGTTTCAATTCTGAAACCAATAAAATATAAACAAATTCTAGTCAAAGAAGCACAATTCTTATCTGTTGAAATGTCACCCAATGTTGATTCTTCATAATAAAGCCACTTTTTTTTCTGTGGCATTGTTAACTAATGCAAAGTGTTCAGATAAAATTCACTTCAAAGTTAAATGCCAGTTATATAAAATCTTAACAGAACTCATATATATCTGCAGCAAGTATTCATTCAAACAAGTTTGATTAAAAAAAAAAAAAATTTTTAAATCAACAAGAGCTGTCTGTTTTCCAATTTTTGGATGTGTTGAGTATTGTGCTTAAACTTGTGGATAAATTGTTCGAAGTTCATATTTTGTTATTTTTGTTAGAGTACTTTCAAAATTTTGTGATCATTATCAAGAACTGATGTGATGTCTGTGTGGTAGTTAGAATTTCTTTGCCTGCATTCTGGTATTATTTGTGAAGCTGGATGTTTGAAATGGCCTGACATCACATCATGTGTAATGATAATTGGGAATAAGGCTACACGAAAAGAATGCGATTTATTTATTTTATTAATACTAATATGTGTGCACACTCATTATATCATGCATTTCAAGATACCTTCTCCTGTGGTGAATGATATTTAATGTGGGTTGTTTAGTTAGTATAATAACAGCTTTTAGAGTTTTCAGTTTTTCCTTGCATTTGGAGCTGTAGAGGATTTTGGTACTATCTACTAATATTTGTTTATGTTGATAGTTGTATTTTGGTGGTTTGTAATGTGCTGGTTGATATATGCACAGATTTGACAGGTGACAGGTCAATCTGTAAGAGAGGGTGGTCCGTATGTGCCCACTAGATATTTAATGTTATTTTTTGATTATTAATGTTGGAGATGCAATATCCCAGAGGGAATGAGAATTCCTAGACAACATTCTTTTTATATAGAGGTTTTTTTGAAGTTTGCTGTTATTAATAATTAAGTTAGATGTTTTAAACTTTTTAAAGTAGATGATAAATCTTAGGAGTTTGTTAGGAACATTGAGTAATATGTACCTGTGAATTATGTTTTTTAAATGCTTTTTTATCCTATTTATGATTAGGGTGCTTTTGGTTATCATGGGATAAGTGAATGGCATATTTATTTTTGTTTGCATCAGAAAGGGATCTGGTGTCTTTCTTTTTTTTTTTTTTCTAAATTTTATTAAAGCTAAATTTATTTGTTCATTGATGATGTGAGTAGGAAAATTATTGTTGATTTAGGGTTTCTTTAATGTTCCTTGTAGTGTAATATATTCGAAGAGATAAAATAAATGAATAAATTGCATTCTTTTTGTGTGCCTTTGTTCCCAATAGCTGTTACACATGATGTCACACTAGACCATTTCCAACATCCAGTTTTCCAAAGAAAACCAGAATGCAGACAAAGGAATTCTATCTACGATACAGACACTAGATCAGTTCTTGATAATGACTGTGAAAATCAAAAGTACTTGAACAAAAATAACAAAATATGAACTTCGGACAGTTTATTCAAAACTTTGAGCACAATACTAAACATCTTATCTGAAAATTGGAAAAATATAAAAAATTAAAGTGACAGACCCGGTTGGTTCTTTTTAATCAAACTTGTTCGGAGAGAGACACACACACACACACACATTTTTTAACAGCGCCAATCCTCTCACTAATGAACTTCACATGGAATCAAAATATCTAATTAAAACTGAAAATGTTTCAGTGATTTAATTCAGCCTAAATATCCCAGTCCAACAAGCAGTGGTTCCTATTCTATCTAAATTCTACAATAAAATGTCTGGCTGCTTCTTAATTTCCTGCTTCTTGGAAATCATCTTCTGTAGTTCTAGTCTTTATGAACTAAGGCAAACTGTCCATTCCTTTTAACTATTGACATATTAGCCTTTGACCTCTTTTTGGCAAAGTACTATAGGCTCTAATCAACTCTGAATTGGTTAAGCATCTCCCATTGCAGGATCTTCTTTGAGACCGTTAATATGGTTTTCACTTCTCTAGGTCAACTGCTGATGTATTAACAATTATTGCTGAAAGCATCTATCACGTTTTAGATAAGAATGGTGAAGCTCAGGCTGTTGCTTTGGATATATCGAAAGTATTTGACAGGGTTTGGCATGCTGGTCTTCTTCATAAGTTCAAAGGTTATGATATTTCTGGACAAATTTTTGATCAGATTCAATTTTATCAAATCACAAAATGAAAGTTATTGTGAACAACCAGTCATATATTATTTTTTGCATTGTTATATGTATCTAATAGAGCTCTATCCTTAGACTTGTGATGTTCCTAATTTTCATCAATGACCTTCCCGGTGTCATCAGTTCTCAACATGGTATCTATGATGATGATGACACAATTATTTACTCCTGTCTTGATGGTTAGTCTGATCAGTTTGATAAAGTCAAATTAGAAGCTGATGTCAAAAATGACCTACAATCTGTTGTTAACTGGAGCAAGAAATAACTTTTTAATTTTAACACCACCAAAACAAAACTGCTCTCTTAAAGAACCTTTTTTTTTCCCCCTCCCTCTTTGCCTTCCATCAGCATGGCTGATGCTAACCTCCAGGAGAGTGACTCATTGTGCCTTCTCGGGCTAATGTTTTCTGTTGACATTAAGTAGAAAGATTATCTTGAATTAATTACTTGGTCTGCTGCTAGGAAAGTTGGTTCACTGTGACATGCTAGAAAATTTTTCTTGCTAGAATCTTTTACACATTTATAAATCTACCCTTCATCCATACATTGAATTTTGCTGTCACATCTGCCATGGCGCTTGCTTATGTATTTAGAGATCCTTGATAAATTCCAAAGAATCTGCTATATTATTGGTCTTGACCTGGCATCTCAATTTCAGTCACTTTCCCATCAACATAACTAAGCTTCCCTGTGCCTTTTCTATAAATATTTTTATGCTAATTGTCCTAAGTTTCCCTAGACTTTACGAATTTAACTACAATGCTTGATTGGCAGCAAAATCCTATCATTTTACAGTTGGAACATGTAAATGTAAGTTCTATGCTAACAGTTTCTTCTTTCTCACTTCTTGCTTTCCAATCAACTTTGATCTTCAAAAATTATCATCTATCTTCTTAATTCTTGTTCTCTTATTTTATTTCCTTAATGTTTTTTCTCATATTCTTTCACATTTTCTGTAACTCCTTGCATCTTAGTAGCTTTATTGCCTTGCTTGGAGTAAAAGGATTTTTAAAAAATAAAAGTACTTGCCTTTCCTCGAAGTGGGTAGTTTGGATCATTACGAGAATCATAGCAATGCTCATAGGAGATCTTTTCATTAACGTTTACATCCTTTTCTTGTAAATTATTCACATGGACTGGGGAAAGAAAAGGCAGGCAAAATGATCATCTTTATGCTATATGGATTATTTGGTAACAAAAGTATCTTTTAGTTCAATATGATGATTTGTCACTTGATTTAATAAGAATTTTGGAAACTTGAAAAGATTATGAAAAAAAAAAATTGACTGTGTAATCTCAAATCCTCATTGAGCTTTGATAGAATATTTATAAATTGAAATAAAATATCTTGTCTATATTTTCTAAATTAAGCTTAGCCCAAAAAATGATTGCTGTTAAAACTAAGTCTTATGCAGTCATCATGCCTTTTACAGATTCTGTTGGAACAGAATAAATCACTTCTCTTGTCATTTGTATTTTGTTGGCTTTAGTCAAATTAAAATCTTTAAAGAGATTACTAACAGCAACCTTGATTTTCTTTCCATTGTTAGAATCAAATTATTAAATACAATTATTTCCATACAGTCCAATATATAAAATCTAGTGAATTCTCAGCATTGTTTTTTTATTTCATTATGGAATTATAACCAAAACCTCAAGAAAAAAGAAAATTTCTTTAAAAATGACTTACAGCTGTTTAATGCTGTATTTTGAATAACATTGGCCCCATGAGACGTTGTGCAGGTTACATACATTTCATTTTTATTTCCACAAAAATCTTTACGGAAGACAGTATCAGACTTGTAGGTAGGTGAGGTTTTCCTCAAGGGAGGTAACTGTGGTGCAATCCAATGGCCTATTGGTTGGCCTTTAGTGTCCACAAAACATACAGGTTCATTGAGTGTACGTGAATTCTGCCGCAGAAAACAGCATTTCTTTGATTGGGGCTTGTTGATACGATAGTCTGTGAGGTCATAAGGCAAAACTTGACTGGAATGAAACAACATATCGGGACGATTATTCACATGCACCCCAAGAGGGTCGACTTCTCGCAGGTCACTGGAAACTTCTGGGTATTTGGTTGGCTCATCATTTTCGTCATAAGCAACAACACGATATGTATTAGGACTAAATAAAATAAAATAATGAAAAATTCAATTGGTTGGAATTCACAGCAACTTTTATAATGATAATTATTTAGTTTTAACATTTGAAATTTATTTTTACTTTATCTTTCAAAACCAGTTTACGTAGGAATCTACCTACCTATCCCCTCTTGAATAAAACAACAACAAGAACATCTAAAATTTACTAATTTCACTTCTGTCATACTGAGGAAGGTTGAGGAGGTGAAAATTTGGCCTTGTACAAATATTCAACTCACCCACAGAAAAATGCAGATAAAGTGTAAATCCTAAAATTTATAATCCAGAAATAGTTGATTGCTACAAAAACTGTTTCGTTTTTGTTTTTTTGTTTTTAAGCCAAGTTTAATCTTTTGGGAAGTTTTCATACAACAGGCAATAGACTAGACATAGGAAGATTTCTTGATGACTCATGTTACTACCTCAACTCAGACTTTTACTTGGATTGACTACTTGTATTTATACATAACATTTGGATACAGTATTAAACCAAAAAATATGGACAAATATTTAACAGGAAAATACTTGGCCTAATTTGAATATGTTTTAGTTGAGTATAAAATTTTTAATAACAGTACATGCTTAAAATTTGAAACTTTGCAGATTTAATATTTTGATGTTTTAAATGTGATACAATTATATTTTTCTATAAATTAGAACTAAATCTTAAGTTGGTATCCACTCAATACAGATATGTTTTAATAATAATTTTATTTTGTCCGAAACTGATTAACAGAATATGTTCAAGTAATGTGTCCACTAGAAATAGAATTTAATTTGTTTATTAACATTGTTTGAACTGTTGTCATCATTGCTACCATTTTCATGACGTTTCAGCTGTTGTACATTCTGGCCTTCTTCAGGCAATTGGAATTTCAAACTAGACCCTTTATACACTATTTACATTATTCGGACTATTGTCCTCATCTTTGGCTGAAACCTTGTAATAAATATGGCGACATTGTACGCTCCAGCCTTCTTCAGGTGGTTGGAATCTTGAACTGAATTTCTTTATTTCACTCACTGGGGTAGACTGTTCTAGTTCCATGTGTCATGTCTAATGGATGTCAGTTATCAGTTACCTCCTGTTAATTCCCCTCTCCAAGTTCTTAAGGACACATGGCACAGTGGATAAAGGTGTTGGTTAATCCAATGACAGGACCCAAAGAGTGTGTTCAATACCTGGTTAAGACTGTGGAGAACTTGGAGAGGGGAATTAACAGGAGATAACTGATAACTGACATCCATTAGACATGGTATGTGGAACTAGAACAGTCTACCCCAGTGAGTGAAATAAAGGGTTCAGTTCGATATTCCAGCCACCTGAAGAAGGCCAGAGTGTACAACGGCCGAAACATAATAAATATGGCAACAAAGATGAGGACAATAGTCCAAATAATGTACATAATACCTCATCTCAGAAATATAGACAGATACTGAACCCTTTATTTCGTCCATGTATCATACCTCTTCCGGATATCTTAGTTATCTCCCTTTAACTCAACTCTCTAAGTTTTTGTTCACCACCACAGTAGCCAGGTATTGAACTCTCAACTCTTTGGGTCAAGTCACTCAATCAAATGCTTTTATCCACTGGGCCATGTGTCCTTTCACAAGCGTTGTGAATATGGCAACAACAATGTAAATAGTGTAAATAATTACAATACCTCATCTCAGAAATATAGACAGATACTTAATTTGTTTTTTTATGGATTTTTAAAGTTATTTCTTCACATCTAGACTTAGTTTTTGTATGCAGAGCTTTTTTCTTTTTTTTTTACAAAAAGATTTCTTTTAAATAAAAAAAAACAAAAAATGACAAATTAATATATATATATATATATATATATATATATATATATATATATATATTTTATTCTTTAAGTTAAATAATTATTATACCCCAATATTTGTGCATATATTTCTGCTCTCCTATCGCAAAATAACTGACTTTACACTGTATCGACATTATTAACAGAAATCTTGCTAAAAAATAAAAATAGGAAAAATATTTATACTTAAACAGAGATGAAAAAAATCCTGAAATATAATCATTAAAAATAATTTGTCATTAAGGGCACAACTTAGACTACAGTCAATTACAAATTATTTTTAATGATTATCATATATACTCATGTATCATGCAACTTTTGAAGACCTAATTTTAAGTGGGTTGCATCATACACGAGATATAAAATTAGTATATGTACTGATGGCCCTGCCTATGCCATTGACAAAACTATATATATATATATCCATTTACTGTAGTCAAATTAAATTCAGAATTGGGTCTTGAAAGGTTGCATGATACATGAGTATATATGGTATATTTCAGGATTTTTTTTTTTTTTTTATTTCTAAGTATAAATATGAAATTACCACTTGCTTTAGTTAACAATCCTAAAACTCATATCAACAAAAGTCTATTCTGACTTATAAACCTGATTTTATAGAAAGCAATATTAGAAGTAATAATTGCTATTGCACAAAGGTGGTTGCATGTGTGTGTGTGTGTTTTTATATATATATATATATATATGCACACACATAAACACACTTGCTCTATCACCTTTATCATTTTTTGGTTTCATCTAAAAGGAAATTGTAGAAGAAATAATTTCTAACGTGTTAAACAAGATTGATGACACATTAATCAATCATTTATTTGGTTGAGAAGCCATGTCAATTGCCAGAAAATTGTCTTTCCCGTAGGCAAACCATACTTTGGCCTAAAAATGAGGCTAATGACTAATGAATTGCCAGTGAAATGGTGTAGAAAAGTGAATCTCATGAGGAAAAAATGGAAATAGCAGAGTGGCTTTCCTTTCTAGTTACTCAATGTTAGCATTATAACTGATATTCATACTGCTAGGAAAGATCTGAATAAAATGTCCATGTGTATAAATCTACAATTGTCAACCTGATGTATTTCAAATGAATTTAGTCCAGAATGAAGAATTTTGATTTTTGTAAAGAACAGAAAATATTCAGAATTTAGGCAAATGTCTTAAGAAAATTAAGATGAATGCTTTTATTAATATTTCTTTATTATTTTTTTTTTTAATAATAGTAACATTTTAAAAGATGAGGTTTTATTTATGAGAATATCCTAATGTAAAATAAAATTAGAATATAAAAGAATAACAATAACATGTATGTAAATATAACAAATATTATGGGACAGATTTAGCATAAAACAAGCATGTACACCTCTGATCTTTTTATATATATATATATAAAAGACGTCAGCACCAGTCTCCTCTCCAACCAAGTAAAAATCCAGGCACATCCTGTCATCCACATACTTGTTGATGGTCGATAGGGCGGCTTTTAAACCAGTTTAGAATATGTTCATTTTAAATATGAAATTCTAAAAATCTTATATTTATTAATGTATAATTTATAGCTCTTACATTGAGCACTATTTTATTAACACCAGAACTCAATGTGTGATATATTCATTCATTTTTTGTAAATTAGTGATTTACTTGTTGTTGTTACTGATTGAATCAATTGGTTACAACAACAATAAAGAAATCTATAATTTACAAAATACACTAAATACATTGATTTCTAAAACAAAATGGTTTAAAGTCAGCAGAAAGGACTTGATTAGAAATTTATTGAAATTCAAACCATCAGATACAAAACTGGAAACTCTTAGCTTCAGTCTAAAATTTGCTATATATATATATATATATATATATATATATATATATATATATATATATATCAAATGATTTTTTTTTTACAGATGTAATTGCAAAAATGCTATAAATTGTTCTCTTAATGGTAACTGCATGGTTGATAACATTGTATATAGAGCCAAAGTAAAATCTCAACCAATGCCCCCAGCCACCAAAAAATATCGAGAAAGTTTATATTGGTTTTATAGAGGGAAACATTAAAAAATAGATTTACAATCACCAAACATACTTGGCAAAATATAAGAATAGCATCTGACTTGGTAGCTATATGTAGAGAATCAAGGGAAAAGAGAAAACCTATTGTAAAATGGAGCATAATGGAAAAAGATGCACAGTTTTGGCTTAGGAAGCAAGGTTTTCAAATTATACCAGGAGGAAAAACTGGTGGTGAAATCAAAAGATGTTATTAAATAGTAGATCTGAGGTAATGACAGTTTGCAAGCACACATGAAATTTTCTGACAAATTATGAACCAGGGTAAAAATGTCTTAATTTCTTATTATAATCTGCAAGTTTTTTCCACTGCCATCATCAAAGGTACAGATATGATCATGTTAACACAAATATAGTGGAGAGAGTCAAGAGTACTGCCTGATGATCCACAGGTGAAACTGCAGTAGAGGTAAGGTTTGGATTTTTTATTAACTATATTTATCTATTTTTTTTTTTTTTTTTTTTCAAGTTAGAATTGTTCTGTATTTTCTTCTTTCTTTTTTTTTTTTTTTTGACTTACACAAAAAAAGTGCTCAATATAACTGTTTTTCTCAGAAAATTAAGCACATGACTTGTCTTTTTCTTGTATTTTGTTACAAATTTGTGTGTTAATCAATATATATATTATCCTCCACCAGTAGCCTGACTCGGAGTTTCATGCACAACACAATCCTCAGGTGCTTAGTATAGACTCTGTATGTATGTATGTATGTGTGTGTGTGTAGAGTAAATTCATTCAAAAAAATCTCCACTGACTTCAACCACGGACTCTAGACGACTTTGAAATCTCCTGCAAATCTTTTGAACAATCTCCTTATTTAAGTTGGTGAATACTGCCATAATCCCTGCCTTCAGTTCATCTTTGGTGTTGCAAGGAGTTTTGTTGTTCTCTTGCTCAATTGTGCCCCATACATAATAATCAAGGGAATTGCAGTCTGCAGAGTTAGCCAGATGTAAGGGATGATGTAGTCACAGAAATTGTCTGACAGCCATAACTGGGTTCTCCTGCTTCTGTGGTATGGTGCAGAGTCTTGTTGCCAGACATAAGGTCTCCCGGCAGCCACCCTCTTGAACCCAGGTCAGTACTACCTCCTCAAGGCACTTGATGTATGACTCAGTGTTGAGTCTGAGGACCTTTGGAAAGATGAATAGAGGCATAATGTCACCATCACTAGTGATCACTCCAAACACCTTCATAATCACCATTAGACTCATCCAACTCTTTCTAAATCCTATGTACTGTCCTCAGTTTGACACTCAAACACTCTGTAATATTTGTGTATTGGGGCTTTCAGCTCAAATGCCAAGCAGTACAGAATGCTTTCCGATTTTCTTGCAGAGTGGATTGCATCATGGTGCTCAGTTTCTCATAGATGGAGCCCTACTGACCCTACTATACTATGCAGTCGACAGAATCAAAAACAAACAATATGCATGCAAGAAACTAAAAATATAAAATGACAACAATTTCCTCATCGCACCATATATATATATATATATATATATAAAGAAATTTCACAAACATGTTTCCAGGTCTACCAAAATCTCAGTCAATGGAAAACCTTTAAAGGGAGAAAATCAAATCCAAAAATTTAAATTCTTTTTTTTTCTTTTTTTTTTTTGCCTTTTTTTTACCCTTTTTTTTTTTTTTCTTGAGTTATATTCAGATAAAAATACAAATTAAAAATAAATCTGTTGAAGATTATCTAAAATTACACAAATAGAAAAAAATATTAATCTATTGGATAAATTATATTTAACACTATGGAAATAATGAAACAAATGGTTTCTTTTTCTTCAACTCTAAAATCATACCTGCATTAATTCACTTGAATTATTTAGATAATCATAATAAAATATATATATATATAGTGAGAGAGAGAAAGAATTAAGATTTTTTTGGTTTTTTTTTAATCAGTTTCACTGCTATGCAAGGCAGTAAAGCCACAAGGGGCTACAGGGCGAGGAAGAATTAGGAACAAAAACTAATGATGATCAGAAAGAGAAAAGAGTAATCAGGTGGACAGTAGATGGTGACTGATATTGCATTAAATTTTTACAGATTAAAGCTGTCTGGAAAGCCTGGAATTGGAAGGGAGTTCCATAAGCCAGATGTGCGTGAAAAGAAACTGTTAGCATAGAACTTACCACTACATCAAGCCAGATCAGCTGTAAATTGATGAGATCTTGATGCCAGTCTAGTATTTAAATTCAAAAAGTTTAGGTACCATAGCAGAGAGTTCATCTGAACAATAACCATGAAAATATTTGTAGAAAAGACACAGATAGGCAAACTTATGGTAGTGGGTAAGTGGCTGAAACCAAGCTGCCAGATTAGAATTAATAATATTGCTAAAGCTCAAGATAAATAGCTGGGGCACCGGACCATATATGACAGCAATATTTTAAGCATGGACTAATAGTAGACTTATAGATATGCAAGATAGATTTTGGGGAGAAAAGTTGTCTCACAGTGAACTAAATTTCTTGGCTGCTGATCTAGCAATGGATTCTATATAGTTTTTCCACTTCATGTCAGCTGAGAATGTTAGCCCAAGATGCAACAAGTCACTTTCCTGGAGGTTAGCATTAGCCACACTGGAAGGTAAAGAGATGGGTCTGTCAGATGAGTTTTGAGTAGTTAAAAAGATTGCAATACTTTTTATACATTTTTATGAAATTCTAAATCATAATTCCATAGTTGCTGCTTAGTCTCACTTTCAAACAAGACAACAGGCACTTAGTGTCAGAAGCTTTAACTTCTAGGTACATAACTACAGTGCAATATTTTGGATATAATTTAACTGTGCCCCACTTTCTTGACTAATATTTTAAAAGTCAGTGTTCAGTGCTTAGAGCAATGGATCAAAGACGTCAATTGAAATTCTAAATAAATTCTACTTTAATTTGTGAATTTGTTTAAAGTTTAAACAAACCCACTTTTAAACTTTAAGCACAACAGGAGTTAGACTTCTTCATTTAATCAGTTTCTATTAATTTCAGAATACAGGAAACCTCTTTTTATACAAGGTACAGAAGGAGAAAGTTCAAAAGATGTTTTTTCAATTGATTAAATTTGAATTTACACTATACAATATATACTTTTTTAAAAATTTATCTTTGTTTTTGTTACTTAAAAACAAATTAAATAATATTTATGTTCTTATTGCTTACACTCTTTGATTTCTAAATCAGACAACAATTCTGAATTTTTTGGTTTTGTAAAATACTTAACATTTATATCAGGAACATTTCTGTATAATCTCAAATATATACAGAGTGTGGCAGAAATACCCTCACTACATAATGGTAGGACATTAGTGGCAATGGTGTCTTATAGGAGGCATTTCTACCACATCCTGATATATTTTTTTTTTTTTTTTTAATCGATATCACCCCATGCAAGGCAGTAAAGTCACTAAGACACAAGGGGTAACAGGGTGTGGAAGAATTAGGAACAGAAACATTAATAATGAACAGCAAGAAGAAAGAGTAACCAGGTGGACAGTAGATAGCGATTGACATTGCATTTAAATTTTTGCAGATTAAAGTAGACTGGGAAGCATGGAGCCAGAATGCGGTTCCGCAAGCAAGAAGTGCAAGAAAAGAAACTGTTAGCATAGAACTTACCACTCCATATAGCCAGATCAACTGTAAATTGATGAGATCTCGACACCAGTCTAGTGCTGCACTTAAATTCAAAAAGTCTAGATACCATAGAGAAGAGCTCATCTGAACAATAACCATGAAAATATTTATAGAAAAGGCACAGAGGCGCAACCTTACGGTGTTGAAGCCAAGCTGGCAGATAAGGACCAATAATATTGCTGATTCTTCTTTGGATTTTTTTCAAGGAGCTCAAAGTAAGTAGCAGGGGCACCGGACATAATATGGCAGCAATATTCTAAGCAAGAACAAATGTTAACAAATGTTAGATAGATTCCGGAGAGAAAAATTGTCTCACACTACAGTGAACCGACATTCTTCTTAACCTAGCAATGGATTTAATGTGTGAAATTCACTATGCAGTGTTGTTTTCTCTGTCCACACTGTTTATATCTACAAATGTTCCCCACCACCATAAATGTAGTAAATTTTAAACAATATTATATAATTGTTTTCATTGATTGTGAGTTTTAGATATTTTTAACTTTAGTATGTGGTGAAATAACGATTACAAAGATTTTGTTGTGCCAGTTTCCCAAGAGGAGAGGCCATTTTGAAAATGAACATTCAAATTATTTTAATATTTTTAAATCCATTTATATGTAAATAGTTTTGAGAAAATTGATTATATTTAATTTTTAGATAAAATAGGATAAAAAAAATTAAATTAAAAATTTACTTTAGATTTGAAAATTAGAGTAAATTCATTAATTCATAATATGAAAAATTTCAATCTAAAAGTGCATCCCTTCAAACTTCAAATGTTTCAAAATTTTTCAATGATTTTTTTTTAGTAAAAGTCATTTAAAAAATCTAATTTTTTTTTCCAGAGATTCTTTCTTTGTGACAGCATTTCTCGTATTTTTAAGTTAAATAATTTAACCAAGAATCTTTCAAATTTTTTTCAATTTACTTTCAAGCAATGCTGAATAGTTTCAAATTTCATATTTGTTTTTTTTTTTTGTTTTTTTTTTGTTTTTTTTTTCACTATTGGCAAATTTTACAAAATAAATGTTTTTTTTTTTTTTTTTTTTTTTTACATACTTGTACTTGCTTGGAACCCTTTTCTTCCGGGTGATTGTCGGTATATATGAAGAAGTGGCCATCTTTCTTTCGTTAGCCCAAGTTTTTCTTCTTTTTAATTTACGTTGTTAAGTCTGTTCATCATATTCCTCAAGTAAGGTTCTTAGTGAGGCATAAACACGTTTTTTAAGAGTAATGGTCTTAACATGGAAAAAACGCCAAACGACAACACTGCCGCCATATTGTTGTTGCTATGGAGATGACACGTTGCCATGATGACAGCTGTAGACATGATGACATCTTTTTAGGAAACTACTCACTTTGGCAGTAACTTATGTCAATAACTGGAGGAAGTGATTTGTTTTGCTTAATTAGATTAGAAAATTAAATTATCAACTTAGTTTATTCTTAGGTTTACTTATCATAATTTCCCCAGTGTTCAATTAGGTTTTTAGGAAGTTTATCGTTCACCTGCTGAGGTGTTCAAAACTACCAGTAGATACCTCCAAAGAAAAATGATACCTAAGGTTTATTATACATTTTTAAAAATGGAAAATCTTTCTGGCAGCTTTTATCTTAGCTTTAATTTCGAGCTAATAGATTAAATTTAGATACGTCCAAAGATTCGCGATACCTAAGGTTTAAAAAATTAATTTTTAAAATGACAAATCATTAACAACATACAATACATTGATAAAAAAAAATTGAAATCTTAGTTATTCTTTAAGACGAAGGACTAAAGAATTGTTGGTTAAAAATTTTGTTTTCTTTTGCGTCAGCCCGGTGACCAAAAATTAGAATAGGAAATGGAAACTTTTTTTTTTGTTTTTTTTTCCGGTGAAAAATACATTGATTTGGAAATTCTTGCAAAAATCAAATAATTGTCGCATTTTAATGAAACTTTCAGGACTTATTCACAAATGAATTAAATTATTTTTGAAATGTTTCTTTTTTAAATTATTTTTTTAACTCGTGTATGATGCGATCCCTAAAATTAGGTCTTCAAAAGTTGCATAATGTAATACGCAAATTAACGGCGTCTGGCATACGGTATTTTATTTTTAAAGGATTTTTTTTAAATAAAAAGAATTACATTGCGATGGTAGATGGGTAAAATTAGTGAACAATATTGTTTTAAAAACGAAATCTCCTTCCAGACAAATTAGTTTTTAAATACGACAGTATTTTGCTTATTGCAAATATTAAAAAATACCTTGAAATTAAAACTAAAATAAAAACTTCAAGAAAGATTTTTCATTTTGAAAAATTCATTTTAAACCTTACGTATCGCGAATCTTTGCGGGTACATACTTTTAATTTAGTTTTAATTTCTAGCTAATTGGCGAAAAAAAAAGATTTTTCACCAAAATTCGAACGTTATAAAAGAGGGTAAAAATATAATAATCAAAAATCCTCTGCTCTCTCTTCTTAATAATAACGATTTTATTTTGACAATAAAACTTTGCTTTTATTAATTTTTAGGCATTTTTTCATCATGGTTACTTTTTTAGCAAATCAGTGGAGGTACCTAAATTTAATGTTTCTAATAAGTAAACTACTTTGCTGTATTTAAAAACGAATTTAAATTGATTGTAATTTCTTTAATCGCTGATTTTATCCATATTTACAATTACAATTCTCTCAGTATATAACTTAATTCTCTTATTTAAAAAAAAAAAAAACTTTCAAAAATCAAATATACTTTTTTGAAACTTTTGAGGAAGATTAGCTGATTTTTTTTCTTTTTAAACTCGTACGTGGATGTTTTATGAGCTGTTGGTTGGGAAATTTAACTAAAACACATATCCGTAAAAATTACTTGAAGAATATGACGTAAGCGCCTTTTTTTATATAATTTTTTTTAATTACTCAGTAATCTCAAAAAAATAGGAAAATATTCTAAGTAAATGTTTTATTGAATTTTAGATAGGTAAAAAGGTCTATTGGTTGAAAGATTTATTTTTGGAACGTCGGGGTTACCAATTGTAAAGGTGTCCGTTTGTAGATAGACCAATACTATTTATATTAACGATATTTCCAACGTACAGGATTCAAGTAAACAACAATAATTCCAAATTGTTAATCAACAAATATATATTGAAATAACATACAGGAACAAACATGCAATAAAATTGTTTTCAATGTATAGATTAAGGGAAAGAAGTTGTTCCCCTTTAACTGTAGAATGATTTGTAATTGATTGTTCGAAGAAAGTTCTTGAGAGAAAAATGTTCAGAAATCAATATTAGAGAAAGTATACATGTTAAGAATAAATAACACAAGAATACAATTAATTACAAATGTGTTGTGTATAGAATGGTTTGAATCAACAGAGTTCTGGTTGACTGAACTTGGCAAAGTCACAAGAGAAATGTAAGTTTATATTACGGAATTCTGTGTGTGTGTGTACGTTTGAAATGTGCCGAGTATGATCGTGATCTTGTGCTAACGGCTGGAATCTTATGGGATCTTATTATTTATTCACCAAAAAGATACAAATGTGCCACGAGGGCTAAAAATGGAGATGGGGAAAAGACTGGTCTTCTCTAGTCCTATCTCAAAACTAACTAGTCTCATTCTTTGACCCATTCGTACTTACAATATTCCTTTCACCATAACAACGCTTTTACTCCTTGCTGTCACACCACAATCACCAAAATACCACATTTTCTCTATGAGAAAGTCCTAACATGAAATTTTTATTTACACAATTATCAAGGGATGGGGGACAAAAATCATAAACCCAATGATTATATACAATGAAAAATGTGTTTGTAAAAGAAACTATACAAAACAATATTAGTAGTAGGACCCTTCCCAAAAAATGTGGCAGAAATCTCGATTAACTGGGTTGAAAGAAATCCAGAGAAAAGAGACATCTGTCACCTAAAAAAAGTGGGGTGGGTTGGAGACAAGTAACTAAAAGGAGGACAAAAAAGGCGGGACTTATGTACTTGCACGCTCTAGCTATGTTGAAAGGAAAATATTTAGCCCTGAGGAGGCCAAAACTGAAAATGAAAAAGTCCTATGTTACCTTAAAAAAGGCTGGGATGACTGATGTTTCGGTTCGAGTCCCAAAATCCTCTTGCCTAAGTTGCAGCCAACAACCACTCGAGGTCAGCACCTCTCACTCGCACCAAGCGTGAAACTTTCACCCACTTTTTGCCAAATTTCGACGTGGAGAGACGCACCCTCTCCGCCCTGATCTTAACCTTTTTCTGATGCCTAAATTTGGAGACCATTGATTCAGGAAAACTTCTCACTTGCGTGAAACTCCTTCTGTCTAGTCGTCCAAATTACCATTCGCATAATGCCGAGCAGACACAAGAGCACATAGTGCTGATCCCTCACGACATTGGTTACGGAACCACATTGGAACAAACGGAACTGGCTTCAGGGCAAAAAAACTTTCCGTCAAAGACGCGAACCATGTATCCTTCAATCAGCCTTCACAAAGGTCGTACAATGTCGCAGTGAAAGAAGGCATGTTCAAATGACTCCTCCCAATCACCACAGCGCATTCATTGGGCTGTAATCGCCTAAGACGCTGCGCAGAACTTTTTGCCGACCCAAAAATGTCTCGCAACACCAGCCAGGTGAGGGATGCCTCGTCGTTATTGAGACATTTCAACCCGGGCGCCCAAAATCGAGACGGGCGAAACTCTTTGTTCGTAAGGCCCAAATTTCGGGAGCTTGTCCTTGGACTTTACCCGATACAAAGCCTTCCGTGACAACCTCCGAGTGTCAGAGAGACGTTCTTTTACCCCAAGGAGGCAGAGCAGCGCTTTTCTACATTAAAGAAAAGAGGCATTCACCATCAGATGAGCGGTGAACCTCCACCTCATCGGAATGCACACTTTCAAGGGAAGGAAAAGTTTTTTTCATAGTCTTCCGTCCAGAATTCTCCCTCGTCGTCGTTTTTTAGACACATCCGTTCTAGGAAATTCAAGCGGCGCATGTTTAACGTGTCTCGACGCAAGAATGCATTCCCAGACCGCCCTCGGCAGGATGGAGCAGCAGACCTCGCGACTTTAATCAAGTGAGCCTTTCCTCTCCAGAAAATCGAAAAAAATTTAACGAAATTGTCTCGTTCGGTAACGCGGGACGGAAGAACCGAAAGCCGGTAAAAACCCAAATCCGAATCGGGTAAATGTGCGAAAATGCATACTTCCGCCCTCCCCTTCAAGAAAAGATTCCTTCGAGTCCACAGGCGAACTGCGTCCTCGACCTTCCTTCGAACCTCCGACCAGTTGGTGTCTAGCTGAAGTCCCAAAATAACCAGATACCGAGTATCTTGACGGGCCCGTCCGTCAACTGAAGGGACCGGGGAAGGAACACCCTCCCACTAACGAAACCGCAAGCCGACAGACTTATCGCGATTGATTTTGGCCCCTGCCACCGTCTCGTAAAAACTTTTTTTGCAGACTTCGTGAATCTCGGCGGTGTTCTTTACGAAAACAGACACGTCGTCAGCACAGCCGGAATACTTTGGCCGATTTTACGGCACCAGGTAAAGTAATTCACGAAGGACCGGGATTCGCCTTTAACTTGCGAAGGAAGGGTTCCAAAGCAAAACATATAACATAGGCGAAAGAACAGGACAACCTTGACGAATCGATCGAGACAAGGTGAAAGGCTCCGACCTCACCCGTTCACTTCCACCAGTGCCCCAACCTGTACAGGAGACGGATCCAGGAACGAAATCAGGCACCCAAACCGGCAGAGGCGAGAACGGCCTCGAGAAAACGATGGTCCACCCTATCGAATGCCTTGGACTGATCAAATTAATCAGCGCGGCTTCACCGTCGACTTTTTTCCATGATCTGGCGAACCATATGAAGGTTGTCCTGAATAGTCCTCTCCCAGAAGGAGCGCATGTCTGTTCGGCACCTATGAGACCATCGAAAGTACAAGCTGCAAACGGTTGGCCAAGACCTTCGCCAAAATCTTTAACTCTACATTCAGCATAGTCAAAGGGCGGAAATTATCTAACCCACCCCTCCGCTTTTGCTCTTGCGTAACAACTTGATGACAAAAAATAGAAAGCGTTGGGGTATGGTCCCATTCTTCAACCAGTGGTTGA